CGATGAGCATCATGAACAGGTGAGGCATCATAACGACTTGAAGTTGAAGGACGCCGCAAGGTCATGGTGTCATAATGATCTCCAGCCCGTTGGGAAGACTGCTGATGACTGGAATCCTCTTCATTCTCATATTCATCATTTTCTGAAGAACTGTGGTGACGATGACGGTTATGCTGTGGTGGCCAAGTGTACATACCATGTGGACTGGGTGGACTGGCTGTACTATGAGAAGTGGGTGATTGAATCTTTGCATCTTTACTCAGAAGATGTCGTCTATCATAGAGGATGTCTGGGTCTTCTGTGTCTGAATGACTACCACGGCCATCAATAGACCAACCTCGACCAAATCGATTTCTTCTGGGTTCCTCTGGGCTTGTATCAGCTGAAGCAACTTTTCTCCTCCAGCGTGGTCTTGAAGTGCGAAGCCAGAAAACCTCTCTGGCAGAGAGTCGCTCAGATCCTCTTTCTCCATTCTCAATATTATCACCTTGAAATGATGTAGTATGGCGAGAAGACATGCGCTTGCTACGACTTTCAGGATGCCTTTCCCGAGAGTCTGAGAGTCTTTCTCGTGATCCTGTTAGTCTATCTCTGGAACCCGAGAGACCATCATGTGTACTAGTCAATCTGTCTCTTGAACCAGACAGACTATCTCTGGAGCCTGACAACCTGTCTCTGGAGCCTGAGAGATTGTCTCTTGAACCAGAAAGGCTCTCCCTTGCATCTGAATGCCTATCTCTTGAATCTAAATGAATGTCCCGGGCCTGAGGTGACCTCGTGACCCTTGATGTGGATGTCCCAGGGGGGTCCCTGGTGATTCTAGGGGACTCAGGGGAGAGCTGTTCCTCCCAGTCAATGCTAGGCTCTTCTGGACTGAGTAAGACTTCATCACATATATCACTTATGTCCAGGTCATCTTCATCATCATCATCAAGAGACCATTCAGTGGTGTTAGTGGTAGAATTAGGAGATGTGTTAGTAGTGGAAGCCTGGTAACCACCAGCCCTGTAATGCACACACGCATGAATTAGTCTTCTGGAACACAAACCAGGTCACTGGTGTTTGGGCCTTTTATTTTTCATGTCTTTGCATACCTTCTATACTTTCATACATTCATTCAGTCTAGGAGAAGTTGCAGAAAGAGTGTGTGTATATATATATATATATATATATATATATATATATATATATATATATATATATATATATATATATATATATATATATATATATATATATATATATGTATAGTCATCTTCTGGAATTCATTTGGTTATACTTTAATTTTCTTCAGTCATAGCACACTGGTAATTCCGCTGTGTATATGAATTTGAATTGAAGTCTCAACCCAGTTAAAACATCAGTCAGCAGAAATTGTTAAGACAGTTAAATCTGTTATGAGACACTCATCTCTTTTACATGCTTAATGTAAGATTCAAGTTTCTGCTGAATTATATGTTAACAATTGTAATAAATAAATTGAATTTTTCAAGAATATCAAAAACCAAAACTATATGGATAGGATTTTAAATTCTTAATCAATGGACAAAGCCTTCATAAAAATAAAGAAATGAAGCAGGACAAAATATTTCAAATGCTATTAAAAACCAGCTGGCAGCCTATATGCTGAATCAAAAAAGACCAAAGCTTAAGCTGTTTTGAGCACACTCATGGCCATTTATGAAAAATAAAATAAAATCAAACAAAGCCATAAGTAATTATTCCCAATGCATAAACATTTTTCAGACAAGAGAACCCAATACAGTTAATCTTCTTCCATTGCTTTTTTCTCTCTCTTCCTCCTGCCAGTTTTATTAGCAACTACAAACTGGTACTAATTTTCACAATTTTGACTGATACACATATATACTCCTTCTTCACTCCTGTTAATTCAAAATCATCATTCTCTTTTCTTTTCCCTAAAACCTGGTTTAACCATGATTCTACTGTTGTTACATTAGCAAAAGCACAGGTATACACTTTTATAAAATTCTATTCACTCTTAACTACCACAGTTGCATGTTGCATCAAAAACAAATCAACATTTTTTTTTTTTTTTTTTTTCTGTAAGTAATTCATTAAAAGCTATATACAGCAAAGCTCTATAAAAGTGATCACTCAGATCATGTTATAATATTTAAAAAGCATTATGATTACATAATTAAATGCAATAAGCTGCTTCTCATCATTATATAATTCTTTTAAAAGATAAACAGTCTCTTGTTCTTGAATATAATTTTCACATCTAGGTATCTTATTGTGAATCTCTTATCCTATTTTCCTTATCACTTACATATATAATGTCAATTTCACACAAATAAACGTCATTCAGACTTCAGACTTATTGGCCCAAACAGCAGTGATCCTGACAATTTCTACAACTAAAATGTCTTCATTACAGTATGAAGATTCTGTTAAATCTCTAGCAAGAATATTACAGAATTATGTAGCTAAATTTAATTTATTCAGTCAAAGTTACTCTTATATTCAAGTAATTTTTCATATACTTAAAAGGCATTCAAAAGAAAGTATTTTACTAATGGAAATTGAAAGATGCTATTATAAATTAATACTTGACTTTTAGCAATGCAAACATGAAACATAATGGAAAACTTACTTTTATATGTCCAATGCACAACAATCAAAAACTCTTTTTATGATGATCTGCAGTAATAATTTAATCTAGAACAGTGGTTTATCTTAACCCTACAGCAATTGCAATACTTACAATAAATAAATACTAAACATATATTGATGGCTGCATGAAAATCAATGCCACAAGGTACACATGCCACATTCAGCAAACTTTCACAGAATTAAAAAATCAAATAGACGTCTTCTTATCCTGGACAGGTATTTGAACAGAAGTAAGAGTCAGTCTTTAAATATAGTTTACATTGAAGGCTAATTAGCAAATATTCAACACATGCTAGTAATAGGACCATACAGAGCAGCACAGTTAATGCAAAACACATGCAAAAATTCTTTAAACCATGCATCATACAGAAAAAAGAGAAAATTCCTTATACTTCTTATTACACTAATCCACATACTTCATGAAAGGTGATTTTAAGTCATCTAAAAATAATTTCTTTCAAGAATGGTGATACAAAATAGCATAAAATCACTGACCACTGATCATACTAACATTTTATATCATATGAAACCCATTAGTTCCAACAGCCTGTAATCCTGTCCTATATTACATAATATCCAAAACAGAAAGTACTATGCTATACACAATATTTTTCATTACAAGATGCAAATCAATTTAAAAAAACTCTGATCTGGCTGGCAAATGTGCCATGCATTTTGTTTCAATTTATTCTAAATGATATTTGCTGATGTGTCAGCATGATATAAGATAAAAAATCTTTGATAAGTCAGTACTATTTCTTTCTATATAAATAATTTACATGAAATATACTCAGCATAAGTAATACATTTGCTGCATAATCCCATAGCTACCAAAATATATACCTGAAGTCCTAATATAGTATACAGCTAGTGGACATGAGTGAACTTAATGAATAATGATATTTTTTAATACAGGTAAAAATCACCTCACTTCAAAACATTGCATGATTTAAAATTCTGTCAATATAATGCAAACATACAAGGAAAAATTCTAGACAAAATACATGCAAACATAATATATAAAATCTTAAAGTAATCATAATAAAAAGTAACATAAATCATTATTTAAACCCAAAAATATGTTTCAACAAAAAAAATTTCCTCTAACAGTCATATCTATTCTCATTATACATATGTATAAAACAAAAATATGTGTACAAAACAAACAAATGCTTTTAAAAATATATATAAAACAAAACTGGAATGTGACTCAACAAAATAATGATATCAACATAAAACAAGAAAAGACATTTCATATACATATTCATTTACACACACACAAACACACACACCACATACACACACCACAACACACACACACACACACACACACACACACCACACACACACACACACTACACGCACGCACGCATGCACGCACACACACACACACACACACACACACACACACACACACACACACACACACACACACACACACACACACACACACACACACACACACACACACACACACACACACACACACACACACACACACAACACACACACACACACACACACACATACATACGCACACACACACACACACACACACACACACACACACACACATATATATATATATATATATATATATATATATTATATATATATATATATATATATATATATATATATATATATATACATATATATATATACACACACACACACACACACACACACACACACACACACACACACACACACACACACACACACACACACACACACACACACACACACACACACACACACACACACACACACACACACACACAGCACACACACACACGCACACACGCACACACACGCATGCACACACACATCACTGTATATTATGTATACACATTTCACTGGATACTACATAAAAAATTCTGAACTAATCAATGGTAACAAAGGATGTATGATGCTTTTAATACTATATTGTTTTATAAAAAAAAAATCATATAATTTTTTACTAGACATAGGTGTTAGATTTCATATTTAGTTCACAGCAATTTAATTATCTGCAGACTCTGTAAGGAAATGTGTGTGTTTTCCTAATGGGATGTTAATGAAAATGGAGATATGACATGGGATGAAAGGATTACATGCCTTAAAAGAAAAAGGTGAAAACAATAATAAACTTAAGAAGAGAGATATCAAAGTAGCAAGACAAGCAATAAAATAAAGCAAAATTCATCAAACAATATCCAATTGCAACACTGAAAAATATAACTGATATTAAAGAAAATAAAACATATTTTTAAAAAAATGTGTAACTATATATGGCAAAAGGAAATGCAGTGCTAAAATCCTGCATGCTAAAATATATCAAACTTGCAGAATAGGGCATTTATTTCAGCCCACATAAATAAATAACAATATCATGACAAACAAGAACAATTTCTAAAAATTAAACAAGAACTGTAAGTATTCTCTTCTAGCTTTATATATAAAAAGAATTGATCTTCAAAAATTGGAAATTAAAATAAAAGCTTGAGTAAACCTTGAGATACAGAACAAAATAAGCAGAAATAATTGATGAAAACTATATATGTTCTGTATGCTAACTTCACAAATAAAAAAAATTCTAGATCTCAGCTAACTTTCTCCATAAGCCGTAATAGCAACAATAAACACCAAACAAAACATCAAAAAGTTTTTTTTCAAAAAACAAATATATAGAACAGCATTTCCTAAATACAATAAACTCTTGCATACTTACCGAAGAATTGTGCGCTCATCAGGTGGCTGCTTTGGAGCATGGGAATTACTTCGCCTTCTCTCCAGATAGGAGGGAAGGTGACCAAGACCCGAGCTGCGCCGATTAGATGACCTAGACACTGAACGTCTTTCTCCTAGACTTCCTCCATCGCTATGCTTTCCATCTGCATTTACAAATAAATAATTTAATCATTGAGACAATCATAAATAACAAAGTATCTCATTCAAGATCTGAAATTTGACAGAGACATGTGTGTTAGATCACTGCCCTTCCATTACTTTATAACTCTATTGAATCTATTGAAACCCTCACAATGAAATACAATACTAAAATCATGATAAATAATGACAGACATCCCAAGGGCAAAGATAGTGGGCTCCTTAGCATACAGGGAAGCCTCAGTGATCCATGAGTTTTTACACTGAAAAATGGGTGATTCACCCTCATTGCACAACACTATGTCTCTCAAAACAATTTATTCAATCTGATCTGGTCATCAATCTGAAAAATAATGTATAAAGCAAATAATAGCCACTACTGAGGAAGAAGGTTATCACCTGGAGACTTTTTGTCAAGTGTGCTGGTATCTCCTACGGCTCTCCTCTCTTGACGTTCTCTCCTTTCATCCTCAGTCTCTTGGCCTCCTGAATCTCCTTCTGGGGATCCTCGCTGGTGAGTAAGGGAAAGCATTAATATTTGGCTTTACATATTTTGGAACATCTCAATAATATATAAATGACAGTTTAGCATAAAACTGTTTTCATTTGCATATTAAGCATAAAACAGGTCAATGGACATACAACATCTTATATATAAATATCCACTATGAACTTGAAACACTGTATAATACATCAAAATTCATCTTACCTGACTTTCACACACTTCAATTTTATCAAGCTGTGCAATTGTGGTAGATATAGCTGCCGACACATCTCTGTCCCTTCACTCATCAGCAGACTGCCTACAACAGTTTCTAGTTGTAAATGTATGTCTTTTGTAACCAAATGTCTAATCAATAAAACTAGAGATTAAAATTAGCAATATTATGGCAAACACCAAGTATCAATTCTCTAATAAATACAAATAATGCAATCAAATGATAAACTAACTTGCAATCTGGTTTTGTCATCTGGTAATGTAATTGTTGCTTTCATCTGCGGCAACATCACTACCAGCTTCAACCTGATGTTGGCCACTCTATCACCTGAAGGAAAAAAAGTAAATTTAATAGTCACAACACTGTATACTAAGAATATATATACATAGATAGATAGATAGATAGATAGATAGATAGAGATAGACAGATAAATAGATAGATAGATAAATATAGATAAACATACATAAATATCTATATATATATACTATTTATATATATATATATATATTATATATATATATATATATATATATATATATATATTATATATATATATATATATATTATATATATATATATATATATATATATATATATATATATATATATATATATATATATTATATAATATATATATATATATATAATATATATATACATATTATATATTATATAATATATATATATATATATATTATATATATATATATATATATATATATATATATATATATATATATATATAATATATATATACATATATATTATATATACATATATATATATATATTATATATACTATATATATTATATATATATAATATATTATATATATATATATTATATATATATATATTAATATATTTATATATAAATATATATAATATAATATATATATATATATATATATATTCATATATAATATATACAGTAAAAAAAAATGTACTTACATATATATACATACACACCACACAATATATGTATATTATATATATGTATAATATATATATGTATATATATGTGTATATATACATACATATATATATACATATATACATATACATGTATATAGATAGATAAGCAAATAGATAGATAGATATGTGTCTATATTTATATACATTTATATGTATATAGATAGATAAGTAAATAGATAGATAGATGTGTCTATATTCATAGATATAAACATGTATATACATAAATTTATGTATGTACATGTACAACACACACACACACACACACACACACACACACACACACTACCACACAAACACAC